TGAATGCAGATCAAAGCACACTTTTTTCGCTTACTTTAATTTTTTTCATTTTTTTCCCTTTTGGTATGTTTCTTCTTTCACTACTGTGACCAATATGGAAATATGCTTTACATGATTGCACATATGTAACCTACACCAAATTGCTTACCATTTTAGAAAGGGGAGGAGTGGGAGGGAGGGAGAACAATTTTGAACTCAAAATCTTGTAAAAATGAATGTTAAAAATTGTCTTTACATATAATTGGGGGAAAATAAAATACTTCTTTTAAAAGATTTTTTTAAAAACACATCATTTCCAGACACAAAATCCTGTTACAGCAGAGGGAAAGAAGGGGGGGGGGAGCATTGTTTGAACCTTACTCTCATCAGATTAGACTCAAGAAGGGCATAATATAATCAGTTAGGTATAGAAATCTAACTTGCCCTATAGGCAGTAGGAGGGAAAAGGGGAAAGAAAAGGGAGAGGGGAAAGAAAAGGGAGGGGGGAAAGAAGGGAGGGAAGCAGAAGTAAGACTAAAGGGGAAGAAAAGGGAAAGGGATAATAAAAGGGGGAAGGGACTGAAGGAGGCGGTGGTCAAAAGCAAAATACTAGTGAAGGGGAGAAAGGAAAAAGAAGAAAGAAAAGCATAAATGGGGGGGAAAGGATGGAGAAAAAGACATAGATAGTAATCATAACTGTGAATGTGAATGGGATGAACTCTCCCATAAAACAGAAATGGATTGCAGAATGGATTAAAAACCATAATCCTACAATATGTTGTTTACAGGAAACACATTTGAAAAAGAGTGACACATCAGGGTAAAGGTAAAAGGCTGGAGCAGAATATATTATGTGTCAGCTGAAGTAAAAAAAGTAAAAAAAGCAGGGGTAGCAATCCTGATCTCAGATAAAGCAAAAGCAAAAATAGATCTAATCAAAAGAGATAAGGAAGGAAACTATATCCTGCTAAATTTCATTGTCTATTGTGCCTTTAACCATAGACAATAAAGTAACATCATTACTAAATATATATGCACCAAATGGTATAGCATCCAAATTCTTACAGGAGAAGTTCAGGGAGTTACAGGAAGAAATAGACAGCAAAACTATACTAGTGGGGGACCTGAACCTCCCCTCTCGGCACTAGATAAGTCTAACCACAAAATAAACAAGAAAGAAGTTAAGGAGGTGAATAGAACATTAGAAAAGTTAGGTATGATAGACCTCTGGAGAAAACTGAATGGGGATAGAAAGGAATATACTTTTTTCTCTTCAGTACATGGCACATACACAAAAATTGACCATGTACTAGGGCATAAAAACCTCACAATCCAATGCAGAAAGGCAGAAATATTAAATGCATCCTTTTCAGATCATGATGCAATAAAAATATATGTAATAAAGGGCCATGGAAAGATAGACTAAAAAATAATTGGAAACTAAATAATCTAATCCTAAAAAATGATTGGGTCAAACAACAAATCATAGAAACAATCAATAATTTCATTCAAGAGAATGACAATAATGAGACAACATACCAAAACCTATGGGATGCAGCGAAAGCAGTTCTTAGGGGAAGTTTTATATCTCTAAATGCTTACATAAATAAAACAGAAAAAGAGGAGAATAATGAATTGGGCATATAACTAAAAAAAACAAGAAAAAGAAAAAATTAAAAATCCTCAACTAAACACTAAATTAGAAATATTGAAAACCAAAGGAAAAATTAAGAAAATTGAAATTAAGAAAACTATTGAACTAATAAATAAAACTAAGGGCTGGTTTTATGAAAAAATCAATAAAACACATCATTTCCCAAAATACTCCACCTACCACTGAACCTTCTCTTGAAACAAAGAAAAACAAACAAAACTGACCAACAACCGTGTCTGACGATACTAGCAACATCCTATGCCTGTAGCATCCCACTGCCCAAAATCTACCAAGAAAAGGGATGTGTGTGTGTGTGTGTGTGTGTGTGTGTGTGTGTGTGTGTGTATTTCATCCTCCTTTCTTATAGATCAGAGGATATCTTGGATGCCAGACTTTTATCAGAGATATTTGAAGCAAATATTTTTGCCAATTCACAGCTGCTCTTCTTGACCTAGCTGCATTGATTTTGTTGCTGTGTGCGCCTCAAGTCTTTTAATTTTATGTAATTTAAATTGTCTATTTTGTTTTTCTATGATCTGTTAAGAATTCTTCATCTAACCATAGATATGAAAGATAGCTCCTTCTATATTCTTCTAACTTTTTTACCATATGACCTTTTATATTTAGGTGTTGGTTTCTTTCCTCAAATACCCTAACTTTACAGTTCCTTAATCTCCTCAACTCCCACAACCTACTCCTCCACTCTAACTTGCTGCATACACAGGATAGTCACACTCTTACTCTTGCTGTCTCCCACAGTTGTTCCAATTCTCTGATCAAGAATTGTGAAATTCTTTTATCCTATCATAACCTATTTTTCCACCTCTCCCTGTTCTTTTTGTTTAGTTGTTTTTCAGTAGTGTCTGACTCTTCATGACCCTATTTGGGGTTTTCTTGGCAGAGATATTAGAGTAGTTTGCCGTTTCCTTCCCTGCTCACTTTACAGATAAGCAAACTGAGACCAACGGGGTTAAGTGACTTGCCCAGGGTCACACAGCTGGTAAGTATCTGAGGCCAGATTTGAACTCAGGAGTCTTCCTGACTCCAGGCATGGCATTCTATCTACCTCACCACCTCACTGCCCCAAATACGATATTCACCTACTCAATAAACTCTGGGGTCATACTATTACCTCTAGAATCACATGTGAACTTCTGCCTGGCATTTAAACTCCTTCACAACATGGACCCAACCTATCTTTCCAGTTTTATTATATATTACTTCCCTTCACAAACATTATGGTCCAACCAAACTTTTCTTTATGCTTTTCCTCAGGCACAACACTTCACCTCCAATCTCTGTGACTTGGAAATAGCTGGCCTCTATGCCTAGAATCACACTCCTTCATTACCTCAGGAAGTCTCTGATTTCTTTCAAGACTCAATTCAAGAGTTACCTTCTACACAAAGTCTTTCCTTATCCCTAGCTACTAGTGCCTTCCCCTTCCCCCACACCAACAAATAATCTTGTATCTCTTTTGTAAATATCTATTTCTCTACATATTTATTAGCCCAGCTAGATTGTAAGCACCTCAATGACAGAAGTAGTTTTACTTTTGTCTCTGTATCCCTAAAACATGGTACAGTGTTTGTCATACCATAGGCATTTAAATTAGGAACTCTTTCTTTAGCAATTGGAAGGATAGCTTTTTGAGTTCAAAGAGCTTAAAAATGAAGATGAGACTTGACCAGTTCATCTTACCCATTTGAATTCCTTCTTCTGATAACAAAAGCCTCAAACAAGTGATTATATGGTATCTGCACTAGGCAAAGTAACCCACACACAAGATTTACACGTCCAAAAAAATTTGACCAAATGTGATTCTATGTCCAACTAAGGTCTGCAGGAATGGAAATGGGAGTGAGATGCTGCAGTCCTCCAAATTCATATCCACATTGGGCTGGTGGTATGGCAATCCCAAATATGTCTTCACAGAGTTCTCTTTTTGCATAAACAAAGCCTCATATTGATGTGTGTCAGAGATGCTCCCTCTTTTTCAGGGATTCCAAGATGGTGATGGGTGGAGCAAAGTATTATCTAATTATCTCAACTTCCAGATCTGGGATCTTTAAATGTAGTAACTACTTGAAAGAGATGAGAACTGAAGAGTGAAATGTTTCCTGATTTATCTAAGGTTTGCTAACAAGGAAGTCATGAAGGGTCTTATCTATGATTTGAGGTACCATAGGACCAACTGGGCCCAGGTGGACACTTTATCTATTAAGTTATTGAAAAGAGCGGGAGAAACTTTCTTGGTTAGTTATAGGGGTGAAAGCAAAAAGCAAGGAACAAGGAACACTTATAGGATACATACCAATTATCCAATAAGAGCCAAGAGCACGACTTTAGGTTATTCTCTCAAGTGCTCAAAGGCCTTATAGAGGTCCTTATGTTTTTTTCCTACCCTCTTGAGATTTTATGAAATGCTGACTCAGATTCTACAGGGGAAGGAGGGAATAGGTTTATATACAAAAAGATCCTAACAGAGGAATAAAGGTCTTACTTATGAATATTGCTATGTACATATGCAGATATGTCAAAAATGTTGATTCATTTACATTCCTCAAAGCGAGGAAGGGTAACCCTTGTAGTTGCAAAATTCTGAAAAACAAAACCATACACTCATACATATGAAAGAAGGCATATAGAACTAGAGCCCAAGTATTATGGGAAGTATTGAAGCAGTTGAGGTCTGGGTGGTCCTACCACAATGCTAAATAAACGCTTGTTAATCGATTTAGGCCGTATATCCATTTGGAACTTACTGTCGTAAATGGTGTGAAATGTTAGTCTAAATCTAATTTCTACAAGCCTGTTTTCCCAGCAGGTCCTTCTCCCAGTGATTTGTGTTCCTGAGTTTATCAAACTTGTGTTTGATTGCATCTGGATCTGGTGCCCTAGTTTATCCCATTGATCTGCTTTTCTAACTAGTGCCAAATAGGCTTGCTGATTGCTGCTTTACAGTTGAACTTGAGATTTGGTGAGGAAAGTGGGCCACAGAGAAGTAAAGTGACTTTCCCAGGGTCACACAGCTAGGATGTGTCAGAGGAAGCCAGGTTTTCCCATCCTTAGTCCAGTGTTCTTTACATACCATGCTATTTGGTAATGATGAGTCATGGCAGAGAAGTTCCCTTTTATCTGAATTGGCCCCAGGACTCCTACAAACAGGTCTTATTTAGGCTGCCAAGCCAGCCCCTGTTGTCTTGGGAGTCTCTCCAGATAGGGCCCATCAGTGCCCCTTTCCTATTCTGCTGCTTTAGATAAGCCTCTACAGCTTATTGTAGTCTTCTTAAAGCCAGAGGCCTTTCTTTTCAGAGGCTCCAGCCCTATCCCTAGTAACCCCTCTAACAGACAAGGACAACCCAGCCCTCTTCTCAAAAATACTTTATTGACAGGCAGAAGCAGATGGTGTATCTCAGTCATGCTGGCCCAGGTTCCCTTCCCTGACAGGGACCCTTGTTTCCTGGTCTAAGAGGAGGAATTGCCTCCTGGGCAGCTGCAAGCCTAGAATAATTTCAGCCTGGCCATTCAGGTCAAAGGAGGAAAACAACTTCTCTTCCCAATGGCCAGGGAAGCCACTGCCAAATCCTTCTCTGGCCTCAGGGCCTGGGGCCTTTAGCCCAATTGGGATCTGAAGCCTGACAATTTCAGCTAGGGATGGAGATTCTTCTCTTAGACTTCCTTAGTTCCTAAGGGGAGGAGGCTGAGGACAGATTCCTGTGAGAAAAACAAATATCAGAAGTAGGTAAGACTTAAAAACAAACAAACAAACAAACAACTATCGAACAGAAGCATGTGGTTTCACATAGTCTTCCTTTTTTCTTCTTTGTACATTGAGATGTTTGCATTTGTTGACAATTGTTCAGTTCATAATAAAAAATAAAGTTAGAAAAAAGTTGGGTGAGAAAGCAACCAATGAGCCTGAAAACCTGGGCCTCCCCAGCTAACGCCACTCAGAAGCTTATCTACCATATCTAACCTACCGTACCTGAGTAAACCAAAAACAAACAAAATGAGTATCTGAGCAGCCAAAACAGATGTCACAAAATCCATGTACTTTCCCGTCAAGCACTTTGCTTAGAGGCAAGGCCCTCAAACCTTCTGTCACTGCCCACTTAATTCTTAGTTTATGCACAATCGGTTGTTTTTCAAGCCCATAATTACACTACCCAAATGGAATGGGCAAAGGTCAGTTGGATACATGCAAAACAATTTCTATTTGATTGCAGAATACAGTAAGACCCCACATGCACATACACATAAACCATACACGAACACCATTAGCAATTCAGTACACAGAGCAGGTTTGTACCTGAGAGGAAAGGGTGGGGGTGAAGGGCACTGAAAGCATGTCCTCCAAGCCCAAACTCTCCCTTCCTCCCAGATCAGTCTAACACACAGAGGCATCTACCTACCCGACTAACTCTGTCTTGCTTCTCCATGCTGACAGGTCCATCCGCGGAATCGTGTTGCAGTTGACAAAATCTTTGGGATATTTGTTAGCCTTGAAGATATCCTTAGGCACCAAGGTGATGCCTGTGTTGTCACAGATGATGCGGGACAGGCTAATAGTGGCCAAAGCCTGGCGCTGCTGGGAGGTGAATACCCCAGCACTCTCCCAATAAAACCTGTCCCAGAATGAGATGAAAGCACCATCGTGCTGAAGGATCCTGGAACTCTAGCCAGATCCCTCACCCTACCCTAACCCGAGCAAAAGGCTCACTCTATCTCAGCCTTCCATTCTTCCTACATACAAAGACAATTTGGTCTAGAGGGACCCGGGTAACAAGTCAGAGTAAGTTCAGCCAGCACTTCAGCGTGATCTCTGAATCAGAGTAGACAAAAGCTGACGCAAAATCATGTAAAGATCTGGGTCTATAAAGCACTATCTATGCCAGGGCCTGACATGCTGCCTGACAGAGTCTCTGCTTCCTTATTAGAGTTGAGAGTAGCTTCTCTCATTCCTGGCTCTACAGCATCCCTGCAAACAAGTCATAGGATCATATATTTAAGGGCTGGAATGGACCTTAGAAGGCCATTAAGTCCAATCCCCTCTTTTTACAGATAAGAAAACAGTAAAACAGAGGTCAAGTGGCTTGCACAGAGTCACACAGCTAGAAAGTATCAAATCCTGAGGCAGAATTTGAACCCCAGTCTTTCTGACTCTTGGAGCAGAATTTTATCCACTAACCCCTGCTGCCCCTCAGTTTCAGTTTTCTAGGACTTCACTCTGTGCCACACCAAAGTCTGGCTCTAAAAGTCCGGAATAAAGAATCTTTGATTTACAGGGAGCTCAAGACTTTTCCCTCCTTGTGAAGTCACTAACCTCAGCACAAGGCTAGGTAACTAGAGATAGGGTGATTTTTCCCATTTTGCACAGGAAGGGTTATTGAGAATCAGAGAGATTCAGTGACTTGGTCACAATCACACAGTGAGTCAGTACCAGATCCCAGATTTAAGCCCCATTCTCTCATCCCCACTGTGCCCCAACACCATCATGGGTTCTAACCACCAAAGTCTCTCCTGAAATATCAAGCTTCCTCACCGGTCTCCATCTCGGAGTTTTCTGAACTGGGTCCCAATGAGACAGGCCAGGAGGGGCCCCACCCTGCCGTTGGGCTCTAGGGGTTCTGCCACGCCGCCCATCCAGATGTCGATGTTGTCAGCGGAATGATACTGAGTCATCAGTTTCTTGGCTATTTCTTGGTTCTTCATCACTGTGGTAAGTTCACCTTCTGTTTTGGGTTGAGGGAGCCCACAAAAACGTCTCCAGGCATTATACCCTGTTATAGGGAAAGTGGGGCAGAGGTGCAGAGAACATAATTTAACAGGTGGCAGGGATTTACTTTGTATGGAGCACATAATAATAGGTCACATTTGTAAAGCACCTTAAGGTTTGTGAAACCTTTGGATTGGAATAAAGGTATTATTAGCCCTCATTCAGATGTGGAAACTGAAGCTCAAAGATAGTAAATGAGCTACCCAGAGTCACATAGCTAACAAGTACAGATCAGAACCTGGGTCTCCGTTGCTCTCTAGCCACCACCCCAAGCTCATCATAGTAAACCTTACCCGGGCTACAGGAGGGAAAGGTTCTTGAGAGTAGAACCTGTCCCAGCCCCTAAGCAAGCCAGTCCCCAAGCCAGAGGTGAGGAACCTGAGGCCTCAAGGCCACATGTGGCCTCCAGGTCCTCAAGTGCAGCCCTTTGAATCCAAACTTCACAGAATAAATTCCTTTAACCAAAAGATTTGTTCTGTAGAACTTGGACTCAGTCAAAAAGCCACACCTAAGGACCTAGATAGAAGGCCATATGTGGCCTCGAGGTGGCAGAGTCCCCAGACCTATCAGGAAAGACCACATAAGGCATGTTATGTTCTCACTGCCCCCAGTTTCCCTGTCACAAAGATACAGAGGGAAGAGGCATCTTCTATGCTCAGAAAGGCTTCTCAGTGTTTGGGCTCATAGGATTGAGAGTTGGAAAGGAACATCGATAACCAAATCCAGTCATCTCACTATATAAAACAAAAATGAGATTTAGAGAAATGACTCACCCAAATTCACACAAAAAGTAAATGGCAGGAGTCACGATTTGAACCCAAATCTTCAGACTCCAAATTCTCTTTCCAATATACACTTTGTGGCTTTTGCTTTAACGTTCGCTATTTCCTCTTCAACCGCATAGTAAAGCCCTGTGTGTTTTTAACCCCATTAGCCCAGTAAAGAGGAATGGGTTTTCACTCCCTAAAGGGTCAACAGAGCTGGGAGAGGGGGGCAAGAGGGGAAGAGGACAGATATTTCAAGAGCTAAAGACAGATTGGTGGAAGTCAGGCCAGAGAATGCTCCCCTGGCCCATCTTGGGACCTTTTTACAGAGAAGCATCTGGAGTTTCAGGATGACTACTGCCTCTCTTTCCTGCTAATAGCATGTCTTTATACACCCCCAACCTATATTCTGGAGGAAGGGGAAGGAACCAATCAGCAGAGTGGTGACTCAGAAAAGCAGAGGTGGGGGATGCAAGTTGGGGGAGTGGAGTAGAATCAGAAAAAAAGAAGGTAGCTTCTAACCTAACCGGTAAAAAAAAAAAAATAACCAGTTTTCTTGAGTCTCACGTATATGCACTTGGACAAATGTTTGGCGTGGAGTCAGATGACTTAGATTTGAATTCTCTATCTGTGATTGACTGTCTGGATGGCCTCAGGCTCGTCAGTTGACCTACCTAGGCCCAGCTTTCCTCATTTGCAAAATGAAGAGGTGGAGAATTTTGTAAAAAATGACAACAAAATCCACTGGCTTTGCAAAACTGTAGTAAGTCTAGAAAACCTCCAAGAACCTTCTAGCTGTAAATCCAATCAATGATCCTAGGTGAAATTGGAGGGACTGCCCCTTTTTCTTCTCAAACTGCCTTTGGGGACTTCTTGTCCTTCAGGGCTGACCTTGGGGATCATTTTCATCCAAAGCAAGCTCTTTTTCTTTTAGGGGGATGGGGAACTCAGTGTGCTTTGTCCAGGCCCTGCATCTGCTCAGGTCAGGACCGCATGTGGGTCTCTGGGCCATATGGGTTTTCTGAAAGGGGAAAGGCTGGGGGACTTGGGGACCATCTGTACTTGCTCTAGCCTCCCACCCTAAATTACATATACCCATGACATGTAAGTGACTGCGAATGACTTGCTATCTCTGTTTGGGGGTCCTCCATTCCTTCTTTTACTTATCACTGGGCAGCTAGGTGGCTCAGTGGATAGTACGCCAGGCTTGGAGTCAGGAAGACTCATCTTCCTAAATTCAAATCCAGCCTCAGACACTACAGTCTGTGTGACCCTGGGCAAGTCGCTTAACCCGTACATCTGTAACATGAGCTGGAGAAAGAAATGGCAAACCACTCCAGTATCTCTGCCAAGAAAACCCCAAATGAGGTCATGAAGAATTGGATACAACTGAACAATGACTATATCATTGTGTCTGTGCCTTAAGATCTAAGCATGAACAAGTGCTGAAATACTTCATTTTAAACAAATAGATGGCACATGGATAGAGAACTGGACCAGGAGTCAGGAAGACATGAGTTCAAATCTGGCCTCCCACACTGCCCTCATTACACATGTACCAGCTGTGTGTGACCCAGGACAAATCACTTAACATTTGTCTGCTTTAGTTTCCTCAACTGTAATAATAGTTCCTGTCTCCTAGGGTTGTTGTAAGGATAAAATTAAGATAAAGGTTGTAAAGTGCTTCGTAAACTTGAAGGCACTATATAAATGTTGACTATTATTAGATGGTATTGTTTGGACTTGGCTTTATATGTGGAGATAATTTCAACAGCAATGTGGACAGCCTTTTCTGTCCCTCTAATATGTCCTCCTAGTACCTGATTAATGTCTGAGATTCTTTTAAGGGAGTAAAAAGAATTTAATTGGTCAATAGTCCAATAATAGAAACTTAGGCAGACTTAGGTATAATTGACTAATATCCTAAGAGCAGCTTTTGATGAGGAGAGAGAGAGAGAGAGCGAGGCACCTGAAGGGAGGAGGGAGATGGTGTGCCACAGAGAGGAAAAGGAAGGCCTAGGGCCTTGAGGTTTACATTAGCCATCTTCTAGGCTGTCTTAGCCTTGTTCCTGATCCCATCGGTGGCAGGGATGGATATGGGGATGGAGCGGTGGTTGAGGATTTGAATTGGGATGAGAATAGGGATGGATTTGGGAAAAGAGATGGGTTTGGAGGTAGAGATGGGATGGGGACGAGAAGGGGGATGGAGAAGAAAATGGGATGAGGATGGGAATGAGGATAGACACAGGGACAGGGACGGGGATGAAAGAGGAACGAGGAATGGCATTGGGCGAGCCCTCTCACCCGGGAGGCCGTGGTCCCTGCTACGCTGCATGTTGAGAGCAGGTAAGTCCAGTCCAATCCTCATGACCTGTTTAAATAACTTATCTCGGATTTCTTCTACCACAATTTGATCCTGTCGGTTCAGTTTGGCTGAGTTGGCCATGAGGCCTCGGAGGATCGGATCGATGCCGCCTGGGAATTGCAAGAGAGTGACATAACTTTAGCTGCTATTAGTGAGAGAGCACCCCACTGAGTGGGATCATGGTATAGGTCCCCCACATCCCAGATTCATCAAAATCTCAAGAGGAGCTGAGAAGGGGATATAACCAGTGGCTTTTTTTCCCCTAGTATGAGTCACCCTAGCCCAAAGTGACCATGCCCTCTGCTGAGCTCCCTTCACTCTCTCATTGTTTGCACCACTCCACTAGGATATAGCACTGACCGGAGTCTGGGGCATCTCAGCAGCTAAATTGTAGGTTCTTTGATCAAAGACTAGAACCATACCTCACACTTCTTAACAATTTGTTTCCCCATTCTACCTTTTCCCTACCCCCAATACACACACACACACACACACACACACACACACACACACACACACACACATTGTTTCAATCAGTGTGCAACTCTAATAAATATTTGCTTATTGGAAGATCATAGGACCATAGATTCAGAGCTAGAAAGGACCCTAGAGACTTTCTAGTATAGGGGTTCTTAACCTGGGCTCTGTGAACTTGTTTGCTTTTCCAATATTTTGATAACAGTATTTCAATGTGATTGGTTTCCTTTGTAATCCTATGTATTTTCTATGTATTTAAAATATTTTTTTCTGAGGAGTTCATAGGCTTCACCAGACTGCAGAAAGGGTCCATGACACACACACAAAAAAATTAAGAACTTCTGCTCTAGTCCAGTTTCTTAATTTTAGAGATCAAGAAACTGAGGCCCAGAGAAGTTAAGTGGTTTCCCCAAGGTCACACAGCTAGTAAGTAGCAGGGGTGCGGTTTGAACCCAAGCCTCTGACTACAGATCCATTGCTATCTTTGGAATGAAAACATTCTAAGATCCTAGCACCAAAAGTTCTGTAAGCAATGTTTTCCAAGTTAATTCAGCCAGAGGATACTTTTGGGCTTGACATATGTTAATGGTCAAAGAGACCACTCAACTCAGATGCTGAGTTCCCATAGGAAGCCTTTGCTAGGCTAATTTGAAAAAAACAAACAAACAAATTTTACTGATCTATTCATTTAATGCTCTCTCCCTCCTCCAATTGTTTTGAACTTAATTTCTAGTCACATGTTGTATTCCTCCAGTAAAATTCAAGCTTTTGGGGACAGCTAGGTGGTGCAGTGGATAGAGCACCGGCCCTGAATTCAGGAGGACCTGAGTTCAAATCCGGCCTCAGACCCATAACACTTACTAGCTGTGTGACCCTGGGCAAGTCACTTAACCCCAATTGCGTCACCAAAAAAAAAAGAGAGAGAGAGAGAGAATTTAAGCTTTTCAGGGACTGATTTTCCTTTTGTCTTTGCATACCTAGTGGGTGGTACAGTGTCTTGCATATTAGTGGGTGCTCAATAAGTATTGATTGGATTAGATTTGATTTAGTCACACTCTGGAGCAAAATAGAGGAAATTACATTGATTTTTATAAATAATAGGAAGCATGGTACAGTGGCTACAGAGTTGGCCTCAGAGCCAGGAACTCAGGATATAAGTCTCACCTCTGACTTACTGGCTGTTTGACCCTGGGTAAATGCCCCAAGCAACACTAATATAAGTTGAAAAGGAGGCCCTAACCTGCATTGGTAGAGGTGGTGCCTCAGCAGGAGTTTCTTATCTCAATGAAATTGATGATGTGGTTTAAAAAAAAACCAGAAAGTAACATGCTGTTTTGAAAAGACCATTAGATTTGGAACTAGGAGGCCTGGGTTTGAATTCTAGCTCTGCTACTAATTGCCTTCCAGAAATTTAGAGGCTTGCACAACTGTACCTGTCTGAGAATCCCCTCTACAAAACTCCTAACAGGCTGTCATCCCTTCCTGAAGAGCACACATGAAGGAGGGTTGGGGTGCCTACCTTCATGGGCCTCTACTGGAAGAGGTTGGACTAAATCACCACCCAAATCCCTCCTAAATCTGTGATCCCAAATGTTTGTGGCATGCACATAAGTTCATATTCAATATTGTCATATGGGTCTGGCCAATGACGGCCCAGTTCCCGGGAGCACATACACCATGCTCCACCTGGTTCAATCACCCTTATGGACCCTCCACTTGCTTCTGGACGTTTCTGGTGACATGAAATAGAGGAACCTGGCTCCCCACTTCAGAGCATGTGCAAGTGCTCTGTGACTGGTTCGAGTTGCTTACTGCGTAATCAAGAGGAGCCTTCTGATTGGCTGCTGAGTTGGAACTGAGTACATGCAAAAGTCATTCATTAACGACAGGATTCTCTCTCCCTAGCTACATTCCAGTGAGGAGGATGAAATGTTAGCCTTCAGGTAGTGAGGTATTCTCCCTACCTGAAGACTTACAGCATTTTGTCTCCTCATTGGCATGCAGCCAGAGAGAGAGAACAATTTAGCCTTTTGTATAGACTACTTCTGCTCAAAAGTCAATCAAAAAGCTCTTCTTCACCATGCAATGGCAGACAGGAACATGGCACAGAATACTGGCATATGTTCTAAAGCAGGCCCCTGAACTCCATGTTATCACTCACTTCCAGTAGCAGGCTTCTCCCATCCGCATGGGTGACTGCATAAGACAGAGCACACTGTGAAAGCTCCTTAGAACTGGACCCTCAATGGCCAGATCAGGGGAGGAGAACCTGCAGCCACGAGGCCACATGTGGCCCTCTAGGTCTTGGGTGTGGCCTTTTGACTGAGTCCAAGTTCTACAGAACAGATCCTTTTATGTAGGGCATTTGTTCCATGAAGTTTAGATTCAGTCAAAGGGCTGCGCTTGAAGACCCAGAGTGTCACATGTGGCCTTGAGGCCGAAGGTTCCCCACCCCTGGCCCAGATCCTTCCCTTTTCCACTCCATTAGAGCAGGAAATATCAGCATCATCCAAATGTTCTCCTAGAACCCCATTTATACTCTAATGAACCAGCAGGGCTCTATAGAACATAGCTTAGGAAACAGAATAGCATTACAGATTTGAAGGGGCTTTACAGGTCCTCTAGTTCAACCAAGAGCAGCTAGATGGAGCCATATTACACAGAGTAAGGGGTCTGGAGTCAGGAAGACTCATCTTCCGGAGTTCAAATCTAGCCTCAGACACTTACTAGCTCTGTGCCAGGCAAGTCACTTAACCTTGTTTGCCTCAGTTTCGTCATCTATAAAATGAGCTGGAGAAGGAAATGGAAAACCTCTCTAGTAGCTGTGCCAAGAACACTCCAAATGGGGTCATGAAGAGTCAGACACAGCTGAAACAACTCAAAGACTGAAAAATGAGGAGGTTGGCGTATAGGGCCTCTCAGGTGCCATCTAACTCTGAGTCTGTAATTCTGTGATATGTGACCCAATCTCATTCCTGATGAATCTTCTTCTCCTACCTGTCAAATGAGTATCTTTTCTATAAGGAAGGGAACACAACAGTGGGAATCACTAAACTTGGAATGCTATTCAGTCATTTCAGTCATGTTTGACTCTTCGTGACCCCATTTGGGGTTTTCTTGGCAGAGATACTGGAGTGGTTTGCCATTTCCTTCTCTCTGCTGCTTACTTCCTGTGACCCACTTTGGTTCTTTTTTTTTTTTTTGGCTAGGCAATGGGGTTAAGTGACTTGCCCAGGGTCACACAGCTAGATAAGTGTTATGTGTCTGAGGCCGGATTTGAACTCAGGTCCTCCTGAATTCAGGGCCCATGCTCTATCCACTGTGCCACCTAGCTGCCCCTTGTGACCCACTTCGGGTATTTTACTTTTCCAGGTCTCATTTTCCTCATCTATAAAATGAAAGGATGGGATCAGATGGCTTCTTCTAGATCTAGATCTATGATTTCATAATCCTATTGTCCTTTACCCTCCCTCCTATAGCAGAGGGTCCAGGAAACCTGCTTACCTTCATTCACAACCCTCCAGCTGGCAAAGAAGACTTCACTAAGTGGGACCATAGGGTTGGGCCCAGTAGGGCGGTACTGAGCATCCAGGCGGAACATGAAGGGCTGGATGAGGGTGTGACCGTAGCGGAAAGCATTGGTGAAGACATTGGCAATGCGTGGATCCACTGAATCATTGTAGCCCCGGTAATTAGGCAAATACTTCCTCATTGCAGCTGGCCCCAGCACCAGGGGCAGGTAGTCTCGGTAAGTGATGATCTAAAAGACACACAAAGGAATTTCCTTGGTCTCTTCCTATCCTGCAACCTCTCTTTCCCTACCAACTCCTATCCTTCAGGGTAGTTATAACTTCTCATGCCCGATGACTCAGAGATTCAATAAACTCTTGGCAGGAGAAGAGTTCCTTCCTCAATGATATCTGAGTTTAAGGAATCAGGAAAGCGTTTATAGTTTGGGTTTGTTTTTTTTAAGGCAATTGGGGTTAAATGACTTGCCCAGAATCACTCAGCTAGTAAGTGACAAGTGTTTGGTCTGAGGCCCCATTTGAACTCAGGTCCTCCTGACTTCAGGACCAGTGCTGTATCCACTGCGCCACCTAGCTGCCCCTTAGGACAGTGTTTATAACGCAATCCCTGAGGAACAGTCACAATCCCCTTAATGACCTTTCCCCTGAAGGCCTCCAGTAGCATTTTGGGCACCTCTTCTAATGCACTAATTATGTATGAGTTTTTATTGGGGTTGTACTAGGCAAAGCTCCTTGAGGAAAAGGAATATCAGTTACTGCAGCTTTCATCTTTCCAGGTGTCTAGCATACATCTCTACACACCTGTATGTAGTATAGTGCTCTACACACAGCAGATGCTTAAATAAATACTTGTTAAATTAGATTGAATTGAATTTGTCAAGGAATGGCTTATGATGTGAAATGGGAAGGCATTGGGGAGTGGCTTGCCCAAGCTTGAATCAATGTCCTTCTAGGTTCTAGTGGGTCCCAGAAATCCCTACTTGGATAAGAGCCCCAACAATTTTCCGGGCTTCCTGGTACAGCTTCTCTCCATCCCATTGGGCATTCATACGCTTCAGCAATTCAGCCAACCGGTTGTGCTCCCGAAGAAAGAGGGTATGCATAGATGTCAGCTCAGGCATCTCACTGGACCTGCTGTCTCCTGGGGAAACCAAAAAGGCATTAGATTTCAGTCAGCAAATCACTGCTCTGGTTGTTTACTATCTGTGTGACCCTTTTCCTATGTGGACCTCAGTTTTGTCCTCTGTAAAATGGACAGAGTAGATGAGATGATTTCTAAGGTCTTTTCTAGCTTTGACATTCAAAGATTCTGTAATTTAATAGGACCCAACTCCCCCAAACACTAGCTGCCTGACCTCAAGCTAATCAGTCACCTCTCTGGACCTCAGTTTTCTCATCTAGAAAATGGAGAGGTTAGACCAGGGTTTCTTAAAGTTTTTCCACTAGCAACCTGGTCAGCATTTCATAAACTGTGGGTCGATATGAACCTGCCCACCTTTCTAGTCCTACCAACATAGGAGAAACCCATTTCTCCTTAGACACATACTTTCCTCCCTCTTCTTGGGCCTCGTACCTGGAATGTAGTATCCCACCTCTCCCTATACCAAACCTACCCATCCTCCGAGAAACTTCAGAAGCCCCACCTCCCCCATGAAGTCTATGCGGTCATCCCAATACATGGCAACCTCTGTCCTCTTTAAGCTCCTCAGGACCTTTTACCTATGCCGTCCTCTGTCATTCTTCCACGGCCTTGCACTCTTAAGGATCTGTTCGTGAGTCTTATCTCCACGATTAGACTTACAGGTAAAAACTAAGTCTCATTCATAGGTCTCCCACAATGCCTAGCCAAGTACTTCTCCCAGAGCAGGTGCTCCATAGATGAATAGAATACAGGAAAGGAGACTAGACGAGCAATCAGGGAGGACCTGGATCCAACCCTTGCCCTTGACCCTTAACTAGAGGTATGATCATAGGCAAGTCAGAAAGCCTCTCTGAGCCTCAGTTTTCTCATCTATAAAAGGAGGATAGTATTTTAGAGCCTGCCTAATAGAGCTATTACAAGGATCAAATAGAATAATGTATAGAAAGTGCTAACCTGAAATTGCAACATATGTTAGCTATTCATATACATTTTTAGCAATCCATACAAACACATTCTGATTCAGCAACTTGCTTTGAGAATGATGGTGGGAAGCTGGATGGAGGCAAGGCACTTGGTTTCTTCCACATCCAACTCTGTGGCCATGTATCATAGATTTGGAGCTGAAAGGGACTTCAGAGTCAGCTAGTACAAACTCTTCATTTTACAGAACAAGAAACTGAGATCTAGAGAAGCTCAAGTTCACCCAGGTGGGAAAGCGGCAGAGCTGAGTTTTGAACCTAGGTCCTCCGACTCCACATTCAGTATTCTTTAGACCAGAGGCGTCAAACGGCTTCATGTGTTCAGCAGTATCCCTAAGTGCTACCAGAACCAGATTAAAATATGTTGTTGTTATTCACTTACTTCAGTCATGTTCAACTCTTCATGACCCCATTTGGGGTTTTCTTGGCAAAGATACTGGAGCAGTCGGCCATTTCCTTCTCCAGCCCATTTTAAGTCCACGCTAAACAAATCCAATGTTAGGATCCCAAAAAGACTAGAGAAAGCCTTTGCTATGACTGCTTCTCCCCACCCCACATCCCAGGGGAATATGACAGATCCCCAGGTGCCAGCAGCCTGGCTTTGGGAGGTAGGAAGTAAATTCAACATGATGAGACTCCCTTGAAATGTCTGTAACCTGGAGGAGACATGGGTAAATGCCCAGATGAGATAATATTTGTAAAGTGCTTAGCACAGTGCCTGACACATAGTAGGTGCTATATAAATGCTTATTCTCTTTCTTCCCCCAGGATGAGACAGGATGGTATCATGGAAAACACACTGGATTTAGAGTTCACCAGACGTGACTTTGAGCCCCAGCTTTGCCACCTGTGTGACCTTAAAAAAACCCACTTCCCTTCCCTGCCGTCTCTCTAAAAAGAGGACGTTTAACAAGATGGGGGAGGGTTAGTCTCAGTAAACTACTGCCTAAGGGCCAAATCTGCTGCTTGTTTTTGTAGAGCCTGAGCTAAGAATGGTTTTCACATTTTAAAATACAGCAAAGTTTTACTTAAAACTGTTAAAAATCATTCTTAGTTCATGGGCCATTCAAAAAGGCTGCTGTCAGTTTTGGCCGGGGCCATAGTTTGCTGATCCCTGGACTCAAAGATCTCTCAGGTACCTCCCAGCACTAAATCTCATGAAAATGACTTTGGGAACCCTGACTGTCAGCTCAGTTGAACAAGTTTATATGGGTTACCCAGGATCTATTCCCTTCTACTGCCTTTTGACTTCATAACATCACCCATAGTAGAGCCTCAAAAATATTTGTTGATTAATTGATTTTGCCCTCTTCAGCTGCCAATAGTGGGAAAGGGGGAGGGGAGAGAGAAGAAAATGGCATGATCATAATAATAATAGCTAACATTTACCTAGCGCTTACTATGGGCCAGGCACCATGCTAAGCACTTTTCCACTGAGAAATCTCTTTCTGACTGATGCCATCCTTAGGCATTTCTGGTTGCAGATCTCTGGTCATGAAGGGGAGGTACAACAAATAATGTCCAGTTGAGAAGTGGAAAGCCACAGATTACTTATAATGCAAACCCAGGTAAGTGATGTTCCCACAGATAAACACGTTCTTTGGAGCTAGGATCTCTAGGACAGTGGTTAGGAACTGAACTCTCAGCCTCACCCGCCCCTGCTGACCTGCCAAGAAACATCGGATTCGAGCAGAGCGGTTGGTGAGCAGACAAGGGTCGTCATGGAGGTTGTCGAAGGGCAGGAGGGCCCGCCCGTTATCCTTGAACTGAGAGTTCACAGCCAACAGTCCTAGCTGATTGGAATTGTTCCGGAGATGACGAGCTAGGGGGTCCTCACTGCCGTACACCATGCTGGCATCCAGGAAGGAAGTGAGTGCGTTGATCTGGTTGCGGATGGTGATGTTGCCCTCTGTACAGGCTGGGCAGGAACGAAAGAAGGGGATGCAGTCATTCCTGTTGCTGATCCGTGGGTCATTGGGTGGGATCTGAAGAAAAGAAAGGCAAGGCTAGGCTGAGACTCCATCAGGGGCTACCCTTTCTCAGTCCCCAATTAATCAAACAGCAATCAATCAACAAACATTAACTAAGCAACCATTCTATGCCAGGCACCGTGCTAGTCACAGAGATACAAAGACAAAAATGAAATAGTCCTTGCCCTCAAGCAGTATGCAAGCTACCAAAAATTATTACCATCTTGGTTGCTTAGTTTTTCACCTGTTCCCTCTAGGGAAAAGGGCCTAAGTAATACCTGTAGCTGGAGGGAAACACCCCTTTAACACCTCCCATCTCTCCTCCCTCTTGTTCTGTGCACCCCACACATACAACCCTTTTCTATCACTGCTCAGAGGATCAGAGCAGGCCTTGAGTAGATGGGGCAGAAGGAGGAAGTGTGAGACTTGAAGGCCATTCTCCCCACATCCAGTCAGATCATCTCTCTAAGCTAAGTCTTGGCTCTGAGTTTCTCTAAATATATTTAATAAGAAGGGAGATATAGGGAAGAGGAGAAAAGGTCCTCCATTAGTAGAAATGGGAAGTTATTGAGGAGAGTGGCCCTTTGGAAACCTCTCTTCGTTATCAGTCTCTCTTCTTTTCCCTTTCCTCTTTTTCCAAGAGGGAAGAAAAGAGATGCAGAAAGGGATGTTTAATGGCAGCAGGAAAAAGAAGATATTTGGAATCAGGTGAACAGGTTTCAAATTCAGGAATTTACTTCCTATGTAACTTGGGCTAATTACTTAGACTCTACAAGTCTCAGTTTCCTCATCTGTAAGTGTGGGATTTGATCTAGAATCTAGATTAAGGGTTCTGAACTTTTCTGTGTGTCATGGACCCCTCTGGCAGCCTGGTAAAGCTTAAGGATCCCTTCTCAGAATGGCATTTTTAAATAATTGAAGGAAATGCTAAATTTCAGCTAGAGGTCAGTAAAAATAAAGATGTTAATTTTCTTCCCATCCAAGTTCATAGACCTCTTGAAATTTATCCAGAGGAGCCCCAACCTGTGGAGTCCAGATTAAAGAACCCCTAGGTCTTTAATATCCTTTTACAACCTACAAACTTCTCATTTCCTAGGCCAGTACCTTGAGGGGGAAGCAGGATGGCTGCTGTTCACAGGTGTGCTCACAGTTCTCGGTCAGGACAGGCTCAGGGGTAAGGTCCAAGTCATGGTCAATGAACTGGCCCCACTGCATAAACATGAGAGCTCTCTCCTGGTCTTGTGTCAGCCTCTCATTGGGGAAACGGACGATTTGGTTGGAGACTTCTCGGGCCTAGAGTTGAAAATGAAAGAAAGAGGGCAGAGGAGAGGAGGAAAGAGAGAGAAGACAGAGGTGTTGTAGAAAGGCGAGAAAGGGCAAAGGTATCAGGGTAGAGGGCAGGATTGGGGGAGAGAGAGCAGGACAGTTGGGGAATGAGAGGGTAAAGGAAAAGAAGAATGAGAATGGAATGAGAAGCAATGAAAGGAGGCAAGTCGTCCCATCTTTGAGCTTCTGAAAGCCCCTCAGGACTCCCCATTGCCAGCGTCTGAGGGGCAGTATAAACAGGGGCCTCTCTGAAGGATCGAGAGAGAGGCTGGGCACTGGACTTGTCTGAACTTGGGCTCAGAGACTATAGAAATGAGGTTACTGGAGCTAATCTCCAGAAGACCCAGAGCCAGATGACATCTCCATCATCCTACCCACCCAATTCTTACCAGAGGAACAGGGAAACCATTTCTCTTTGCCCCGTTTGTCCAGCCAAAGGGGAGAGAGACTCCATCCTCATACTCAGCAGGCAACCAGCGTACAAAGGCCCTGTTAGATGCTCCTAAGGTAGGTCTCCTCCTGTAATGTGAACAGAGGCAGCTTAGGGAGGCTGAGCTAGGGAAGGAGGAATCTAGGGCAGCCCAGTTATACACCATTGGGTAGGACCTGGGGCTCTCCTGAAGAAGTAGTCACCCACTGTGGGGAGAGAGGAGCAGGGGAGGGACAAGTTGTCACTATAGGACAAGGTCTTGACTGGCAAGCTCTGGTCTCCCACCTGTTGTTGCATTGTCCTGTAATGGTACGGTACTGGTCCTTGTCATCACACTTTACTCCTACATTCTGGTAGGCACAGCCGCTGGCTTTGGACAGGAGCTCCAGTTGGGGAGGGGTCAGCACATCTAAAGTGACAGGGAACAGAGCTGTGAAAAAGGCTAGGGGTACTGGTCTCCCCTGACCCGATTCCTGCCCACACCCTCACCCTACAGCTTCCAAGGACACTAGGAGGTAGGAATGGGGTCAGAACCAAACGCAGCAAAGTCCTGGGAGGTCTGAAATCAGTAAGGCTGGTTCAGGGAAATACCAGTGATGTTGAAGGGTCCCCTATGCCATGGGCGAAACTTCTTCTCCAGCAGATTCAAGGCTATGTGCAGGTAATCAGCAGCTCTAGCAGCCGTCCGGGTCCCTGCCATTGGCTGCTTGATAAAGGACATGAGGTCTCTGGCACTTGCTGTCCCACTCCTCATCTTCTGCTTAATTCTGCTCAAGGTAGAGGAGGAAAAGAGGGAGAACTCAGGGTGAAGAAGGGGAAAAATTGGAAGGAAGGGCCTCCCTAACTCCCTCCCTCCCTGGGAGGGGGGCAATAAGATTAAAGATTTAGTGTTAGTGAGGACTTCAGGGGTCACCCAGTACAACCTCCTGGTTTTTTGAGGAACCAGACCCGGAGAAATTAAGGTACTTGCACAAGGTCATACAAGCAAATGGGTAGCCAATGGCAAAGCTAGGATTTGAACCCAGATCCTTTGAGTCCAACAGAGGCAGACACTTCTTACTGTACCTGGATGCTTCCCTCTAAATAGGTCCTTAAATCATTAGGTGGAGATCTTTGTAAACAAGATTGGATCTTCGTCCAACTAGGCTAGAGGTCATTCTGCACTAAGGCAGAGGATAACCCAAGAGAGACCCTGTACCCCTGCCCCCTACTCCCAAACATCTATGACTCGGAAAAACATCCCCATAAGTAGACTCCGGCCTTGGAAACTTCCCGCCCTCAGTAGGCCCTCCCTATAAGACACAGTCACAGGGGCACAGTCCCCACCTTTCTCGCCTCTCTTTATAGGCTTTGTCCACCAGTTTCTTGGCCTCCTCCATACTGCCCAGTACCACAGAGTCATCCACCTCCCCACGGTTGGCTGCCAGATATCCAGAGGGAAAAGGCAATCAGGCCACATATCTGGCCATGTCCAGAAAGTGCCACCACCCCACACCTCTGCCCCGATCTGGGGATTTGGTTCTCTGCTTCTGCTTGTGACCCCATCACCCCCTCTCTCCCCACCCTAAAAAGTCCTAGAGACAGGGAAAGTCCTTGAGGTCTCTGACTAGCCCCCTTCCCTCCTTAAGGCACCTCCTTCCCCTCTCCCTCCTCACTGAATCCTTTCCCCCAATTCTGTCAGTTACCAGGGGAGGTGCCCACCAACAATGGGGGCAGGATCAAGGCAATCAGGAACCCTGTGAGGGGCAGGAACAGCTTCATCTCTGTAAGAAAGACCCCCATTCACCCCATAGGCTGGATTAGAAACCTCATGTGGGGCTGAGAAAGCATCCCCCCAGAATCAGCGTAAGACTTAAGAGCTAGAAGATGGCTGAGACATCCTCTAGTCTTCTCACCACTCCCAACCCCTGACCCTGGCCCCATTTTACAGAGTCAGAAAACGAGGCCCAGAGTGGGGAAGTGACAACCAATTTTCCCCAATTGATTAGTAGCATAACCAAAACTAGAACTTAGCTCCTGCCCTCCACCCCCATCCCTCCCTTAGCCTACTGGGTGGGAACCTCCTATATTTTAGCCTATCTTTATATAGCACTTTAAGATTTGCAAAATACTTGCTATCTCATTTGATCTTCATATAGTTCCATGAAGGGGGTGCTACTATTATCCCCATTTTGAGGATAAGCACATTGAGGCTCAGAGAGTTTGTGACTTGCCTATGGGCACACAGCTAGTAGACCTCTAATGCAGGATTTGAACCTAGATCTTCCTGATGTCAAAGTCAGAACATACTGCCTCTGGACCTTCTTCCTCCAGCCTGTCCTTAAAGAGATCAGGGGCCCAAAAACTCACCTCTCATCTTTTGTTCTCCTCCTCTTCCACCTAAGGAGGCTAGGAAAGAGGTTTTTATATCCTCAGACTGGAGATGGGGAAGGATGGAGATCTTGGGCGGGGTCTGAGGCAGCCCCTCCTCTTGGGGGGTGGAGCTAAAAGCTCTCCCTTTCTGTGAGTCTGGCCTGGCTTCTCACCACCCCTGCCATGCCCCTTCCTAAGCAGGGTCTCCTTACATGTACCCTTCTCTGCTCCATATCACTCTTCTCCTAACTCCGCACCTGAAGCTCCTACTCACTGCCTCAGTCAGGAATTCCTGACTCTCGTTCAGACCCCTCCTAGGAACCCCCTTCCAGCTAGAGGCTACCAGCCCTGGTAGTTGAAAGATTTTAGGGGCTGGAGGTGGGGAACTGAGCCTTGTTCCTCCTAACCTCTTTGCACAGAATGTATGGTTGCTGCAGTTTATGTGGGCCCCCAGACATCTGGAGGTGACTCCCCATCTCCCAATAACAAAACTCCGGCCTTGGCCACCCAATCAACCAACCTTGGGGGCTCTTCTCCCTAAGCCCTTCCCTGTGAGCAGAACAAAGTTCAGATTTCCATGAGTCTCACTACTAGAGCAGCTCTATCTCTGAAAACAAGACCTCTGCTAGTGTGATGGAATGACAGGCCTTCTGTGTGAAAGGTACAGGAATGGGGTAGACAAGGGGGCTGTGAGGTCCATTGAATCAGAAGATATCATTGGGAGGGACCTCATCTAACAAACAAATTACTTTGTCATCAGTGTGACTAAGTGTTTACTTGGATTTATCAAAATAAAATTTATCGAAAGTGAAGAAGGAATTTTAGAAGAAAGAATTTAGGAATTTTAGAGTTACCCAGCCCCTCATTTTACAGATGCGGAAACTTAGTCTCAGAGAAAGGAAGTAACTTGCCCATGATTACACAAGTAATAAGGATTTGAACCCATAGACTTTGGCTCCAGATCTTGTGGTGTTCTCACTATACCATGTTCACACTATACTACATTGTCCCTCCTTCCTATCCTCCTCCTACTCCCCTAACCCCTCACATCTTTCCCCAGGTTGCTTACTGGCCAACCTCATTCATACCAATCCCATAGTCTTCCTTGGCCCTGGCTCCCTCCAGCCCCTCCCTCTTTTTTGCTTCATCTCAGTCTCCTCAACCCTGACCAACTCTGAAACCATTCCCTTCCATGCCAAAGCTCTCAAACCATGAAATATGAGTGGGTTTGTGAGAGGGCACAGATTGGCAGAAATCTAGGTTCCATGAAAAACTTCTCTGCAGCTGGGCAAGGATCCCACCCAAAAACTCTAGCCAAAGGAACACCCTACCCCAGCTGCTTCTCCTCCAAAGATGGCAACTCTCCCTCCTCATTTGGGGAAGAGGACAGTATATAATCCTGGCGAGAAGGGGAGAAACATGGCGGGCAGAGACTGAAGGAAGGCATAGAATGAGACTCTGTGCCCTGGGATCCCTCCCAAAAAGCATGACACAGGGTGGAAAGGGTGACTCTAGAGTTAGAGACATTGAGTTCAAATCTCACTTGACATTCAGTAGCTGTACGACCTTGAGCAAGTCATTTAATATCCCTGGGCCTCATTTTTCCCCAACTATAGAAAAGGGACAAACTAAATGTCCCTCACAGTTCTGAATTTGTGACCCTATTACCCAGGCTAAGAGCTCTTTCTAATCTTCAAAGGAGTAGAGATGTTGGGCATTGATATGAGAATGGAGGGAGCTAGAATTATGGCCCCCACTCCTTGCAAACCCCATGGGTTAACCTAACCCCACAACCTCACGTGCACAGGCTTCCCCAGGCAAAAGAATCTTAACCTCTCTGGGACTCAATTTCCTCATCTGTAAAATGAAACAATTGTCCTCCTTCCCTAGCTCAGCCCCCAGAAACTGCCTCCATCACCATCCCAGGAGACCCAATAGCAAGCTAACAGGACCTGTGTATGCTGGTTACTTCCTGAGTACAAGGACAGGTTATCTCTCTCCTTCAGGTGGACAAAGTAAACAAAGAGAAATGGCTTCTCTGTTCCTCTGGTAGGAATGGTATAGGAAGGGTGATGGAGATGTCACCTGGCCTTGGGGATAGGCCCCAGCACCGTTATCTCCATCCGCTCAGCTCTTTCCCACAAGGTTGCTATCCAACCCCTTTGTGTGGGATACTGGGCTATAATAGGACTATGCCTCATGAAGTCTGGAACCAGGGAGAGAGGCACTGTGTCTCCCCCCCAACTTTTTGCTACAGGTAAAATCAGATTTTAGTGAGCCTCTCGGTAGCTCTGAATGGCAAAGCTATTACTGAAGGGCCGCATGCAGCCTGGAATGGGGGTCGGGGAGAGGGAAGGGGAGCCGGCCAATCTGCCCTGATCATAGTAGTGATGTGCATGGGGGAATTAATGGGATGATTTTATGGCCAGTACAAGCCCTTTGTCTTTCTTAGCACCAGGCAGGGAAGCAACCATCACCACCAGGCTCATTGCCTGTTACTCCCCTTCACACACTCCATTCCAGCTGATCTTTACACATCACATTCTATCTCCTACCTTCATGTCTTTGTACAGGCTGTACCCCCTGCCTGGAATGCCCTCCTTACTCATCTTTGCTTCTTGGATTCTCTAGCTTTCTTCAAAGCTCAGTTCAAACATCACATTTTACCCAAGACCTACCCTGAGTCTCCCCAGCTGCTAGTGCCATCCCTAATTTACTTTGTATCTACTCATCTGTGTACACCTTGCCCTCCACCTCCCACCCCACACCCAAGAATGTAGTAAGCTCTCTGAGAGCAAAGACTGTCTTCATATCCCCAGAGGTTAGCAAGTGGTAGGATCACAGAGCTCAAGCTGGAAGGACTTCTGAGATCACCTAGTCCAATCTCCCCACTTTACAGATGGGGAAACAGAGGCTAGAGAGGTTAAGTGACTTTCCTCAGGTCATACAGGTAATCAATGCCAGAACTGAGATTTGAACCCAGGTCTTCTGATTTCACAGCCAAGGTTCTTTCCACTGTACCACACTGCCTCCTAGGTACTTAATAAATGCTTGTGGAACCTCCTTCTCCCTGAGTTCATTTGGGGAAACTTCTACCTTCTGCTTCCTAAAGCAGTGTGCTCCCCCAAAAAATGTATGGGAGCAGGACCGATTTGATTAGTCATAGCCTAAGGATAGCAGGGAGTGGAGAGGAGCTGGACTCCCGGGGTGGGGGGATTTGTGGGGGCAGTGCTGCCCTTTCTTGCCTTGGTCTGGCCAAACTTTCAATATGAGCTTTCGGTATGAACTAATGAGGCAGGAAGTCTGGCCTGAGACGGTTAGGCACCGCAGGAAGGGATCTGGGGCCTGGTGGGGTTTAAGGACTTCCTGTCTCCTTCTCCACCCAGTGGGAGGCCCCATCCACCCCAACTTTCTGGGATAGGGCAGGCCCACTCAGCATGAGAGTGGATTTTCAGGAACCTGCCAAGAGTGTAATGAGGGCTGATTGTGGTGATCAGTAAGCAATAGCAGTGACTTGACTAAGACCACACAGCTTGTAGGTGAAGCCAGGATAGAAACTCCAGTCTTCTGAACTCCAATTCTAATACATGTTGTGAGCTGCTCCTCAGAAACAAGATCAATAGGTTTTAAATTATAGGGGGAAGGATTTAAATTAGAGTTGAGGAAGAACTTCCTTTATAGAATGAGACTCAGAAAAGAAAGAGAAGGAATCATAGGAAGAGAATCTTCCTCTTCCCCCTAACCCTTCCCCGAAGATCCTTGGGAACAGAAGAATCACTCCCTAATCCAAGCAGGGACAGGGAGAAGCCACCTGTATGGAGTCCAGAAAATGGCACTGTGGCTAGAGCAGAGAGACCCAGAGTGAGGAAATGACTTATCAACTCTCTCAGGTCTTGAAAGAACAGGAAACTTGACCCTTCCCAATGCTCCGCAAACTGCTGGTCTGTCTATCTATTCTCCTGCCTCCATCAATTAAATGACACAGAGATGAATACACACACACACACACACACACACCACACACACACACACACCTGCTTTTCTCCCCCCATCTCTCCTGTCATGGTTACTCCACTAGCCTCAACTATCTGGTCCCAAAATTGAGAAAGGGTAGTAAAGAAAATAAGGCACATATGACAATACCCAGCAGACCTTTGTGATATGCCCAAACATCCCCGTGAACAGATTGGGATACAGTAGGCTAGGAATCGAGTTTTCTAGTCCTAGCTTTACCTCTGATTTATACTGTGACTTTGGATAAGTCAAGATGAGAGGAGATGGCCCCTTCCAATTCTAAATTCTTTACTTCAACAATTAAGAATATATAATGTGGATAGAGCACCAGCCCTGGAGTCAGGAGCACCTGAGTTCAAATCCAGCCTCAGACACATAATACTTCCTAGCTATGTGACTTTGGGAAGGTCGCTTAACCCCAACTGCCTCACTGAAAAAAAAAAAAAGAACATATAATGTTCACAGCATTGAAGATGCAAAGATGAAAATGACATAATCCTTGTCCTCAGGGCTCTCACAATCTAACAACAAGAATAAGCTATAATTTATCCATAATATCATTTTTAGGTCTATAGTTTAAAATTATTATGTAAGAGAGTGTTAAGTATAAAGAAGTGATCCAAGAAAAAATGAATAATAGGCGTTGTTTATCTACTTGTTTTTTCCTGTGAGGATCATGGGCCAAACTTTGTCCAGAACGCATTTATCTCATTAAAAAGACTAGAGTGTTCACAGTGGATAGAGCACCTGGCCCTGAAGTCAGGAAAACCTGAGTTCAAATTCGGTCTCAGACCAAACACTTGACACTTACTAGCTGTGTGACCTTGGGCAAGTCACTTAACCCCAACTGCCTTTAAAAAAAAAAAGAAGAAGACTAGAGTGTCCTAGGACTTGATACAAGCAACACAATGTTATTCCCAAACAGGAGCACCGGGAGGACTTCACCATCTATAGGGAATCCCTTTTCCATTTGAACTCTGTACTGAAAAATCTAGCACTGAGGAGTGTACATGATAGCACAGTACTTTCTTAATTTTTAAAAAATTAACAAG